TACATCCACCAAGGCTGACTGAGTTTGGTTTTACGTCGCTTTTAGCAATATTCCAGCAACATCACAGCAGGGGACACCAGAAATGGGCTTCACACATTGTACCCATGTGGGGATTCGAACCCGGGTCTTCGGCGTGACGAGCCAACGCTTTAATCACTAGGCTACCCCACCGCCCATACATCCCCCAAGGGAAGCTTGTAACCATTGTAATAACTAAGGAGCTATGGCCAACATTACAGTAAAGAAAAAATAATACAGACTAGACCTTGGAAAAACACCATCAATCACAGATAGTTAGACATCATAGAGAGTTATCTGGAAAAGACATCATTACAGATTGTTTCTTTCTAGGCCATGAAACCTCAAAACTGACTGACTAACTGACTGAGTTTAGTTTTACGCCGTTTTTAGCAATATTCCAGCAACATCACGGCGGGGGACACCAGAAATGGGCTTCACACATTGTACCCATGTAGGGATTCGAACCCGGGTCTTTGGCGTGACGAGCCAACGCTTTAACCACTAGGTTACCCCACCGCCCCCCTCAAAACTGAAAGAAGTGAGTGAGTTGGTTTAAATACAGCCTTGAGGAGTATGTCAGTCATATTCTAGCATAACAAGAGTTGGGTTTAAATATGCTTTTTAAGCAAATGTCAGTCTTATTCCAGTACATGTATATGAAGAGCTGGGTTTGAATACAGCCTTGAGACTTGGGTCTAAACATGGTTTTGCAGAGAATGCAGTCATATTGTGGACTAGTACCTGTCACAGGTCCCTTGTGTTTACAAGACATGTGTAGGACATCAAGGTGACAGACCATGGACCATCACTTGTGCCAAATCTCACATTCCAACAAACATTGGATCCTGACACATCAGGTATGGCAACTCTAGCTAATGAAAGCTACTGGCTTCTCCTAAAGAAACCAATCTTCCAACCAACAACTCAAATATGGACATCTGTTCATCAGATTTGTTTACAAAATTTATAAATTTAAAACTTAAAAATAGTACATCGATTTCCATCATCGCCCACCCACCCCTTTAAATATTAACAAAAGTGTGTTGTTACATTAATGTATGCCAGCTCCTTGTCATCACAATCACCTGTTGCTACCGGCAACTCAAGAGATTCTGGTGCCAGGGAGGAAACACCGGAAGCAGGAACAGCTAACCAATACCTGGCAAACAAACATCTGTCTTGCCTCACACTGTCTTACAGTCACCTTGAAGTTGGCCCTTAGTTGCACAGACCCCAAAATAATCCCCATTTCAACAAAGTATATCACATAAAAGTTTCAGTGATGACATTTCCCTCAGAAAGCACTAAATCCATACAAAGTTGTTGCAAAAAGTTATTTCTACAGCTTAAATCTGCATAATATGGGAATAAGTTCACACAAAAGAGTGAGTTGGATTTGGCACTGCTTTTCAGCAGGAGGACACCACTACTTTGTACTCAGCCTTGAGTATTGGTGTGGTGCTGAAAGACCAACGTTGACAGTCATAGGCTCCTGAAATGACTAAGGGAAATAACTCTCCACATGTGACTCATGGAAGTGATGCAAGGCTGTGATTGCAGTAACCTGACAATTGCAGTTGGTCTCAGATTGTTCTAAGCACAATCTGATTCTCTAGGCAATCGTGATAGTTCTGAAATACCGTTGCTTATTTTCATTGTTTCTCTCAATCAATGACCGAATGTGAGCAGTGAGCAACTTAGCTGGAACTCGGCACTATCTAAATAGATTATTACTTATTATTTTACTTAATTCAAATTGGGACATGGCCAACCAACTTCTTTATTTACATAACTAAGATCCTTACAACCACAATAGAAAACCATGGTTGACAAATATAACTGTCAACATTAAAAGCAACATGGGCTGATGAACCACAGCAAGATGGGAGCACTCAGACAGAATTGTCCCCCTTGTTGTGGCACCACTCGATGGCCTCAAGAACAGACTGACTGTTGATTGCACTATGATTATCTTTTGATGACCTGAATGTATACCAGCTGGAAACCTCAACCATCGCATGATCAAAGTCGTGCTGTACAACCAGAACTCATCTTTGATGTCTGACATTATTTTTAGTAATGTCTACGAACACTGAAGTGAATCAGATATTGGGTTACCTGGCCATTCAGCCAATATGTCATCGTTTTTCCACCTGATGGCATTCAACGGTTCACCTGTCACACAGACAGAGACACAGGAGCCTCTCGGGGACTGGGTTTCAATTTGCATACCCATTTTGTTTATCAAACATTTTCAGGACAAAGGATCTACAGAGCTTCATATTTGAGACCTGTGATTTTTTTCTTTTGGATGACTTTATTCATGAGGTGTTAGAAGATGATTTATTACAAATCACAACGTATCTTTGTTCGTGTATGCTATACTAACAACCAGACACTGAAGGTAGCCAGCGTCCATTCAAGTCAGATTGACACCTTCATTGTTAATGGTCCATATCAACAACACATTTTTGTTAAAATATTTTGGAACATTTCAAATTGGGACACGGCCATAAGAACAAAACATCTTTTGAATTTGACAATAGTTGTGTTTATGCAGCAATCTGTATATCCTGTATTATATTTGGACACAAACATTTTGCAAATTCCTGAGTATTATCAGTTTCACTCAAGTATGATGGTTTGGTTTGCCTTTGTCAGACTTATACAAGACTAGAACAAGGAAATATCGACTGATGATCAGACACAACCAACGTATTTCAGAATGCATCTCTTGATAAACAGCTGACCCCATAAACAACAGACACTCTGAGAATACAAAGGATACTTGCAAGACACCAATTTGAACACCCCCAGAACACAAAGACTACTTTCAAGACACCAATTACAGACACCCTTAGATTACAAAGAGTACTTTCAAGACACCAATTACAGACACCCTGAGATTACAAAGAGTACTTTCAGGACACCAATTACAGACACCCTGAGATTACAAAGATTACTTTTAAGACACCAATTACAGACACCCTGAGATTACAAAAGTATTTGCAGGAGGCCAATCACAGACATCCCCAGAATACAAAGGATTTGTACAATGCCTGAATTACAAATTCCTTAAAGGTCACATGCAACGTAAAACACAACTTTGCAGATTCTGATACCTTTCGGTATGGACTTACCGAAACAAATCATCAAAAATGCAAATTCAACTTATAAAGTTGAAAAATAACGCGATGAAAAAAACCTCGCAAAATCGGAGTTCAAACGATTCACTAATTTTCGACCGACTTTTAGGAAAACTGGTTTCAACAGCTGGGCTCGCTCATATGCGTCGCGCAGTGAAATAGGTTTGCGCAACTTGGAAGCGAGCTGTCCGATGAATACTCGGTGAAGGCTTTGGTATGAGCTATTTTCCTAATGTTTTGTTGATATCTCACGAAGTGTGAGCTTTTATGTTATGACAGTAAATAAACTGTTTATATAATTTCATTTGTCTATTTCACCACACGTTCTTCTTACCGAGTCACTTTCTCAGTTCGATACTTAAAAGCAATGTCATTATTTAGCGTTGACAGAATTTCTAACTGTGATATAGATATGTCGTTGTCACAGACAAAACTCAATGTTTTATTGACACCTGTGTGTCTGCCTGCCTGTCTGCTAATGACAATATTCAATACACAACTGCGATCACTGACCACATGCAATTTGAACTTAACACCAATCAGGCTATACACCATAAAAAAAACGCATTGATTTATGGCCCAAGTTCGGTCTCTGTCACATTATGTAATTACACAGACAGGCAGGTGTGACACTTGAACACATGACATGTTATGATGTCTGTTGATTGCAAAATGTTATACACAAAAAATGAGCCTGTATTTACAAAACCCAACATCTCTATATATACACACACAATGAGCCGTGGGGGCATCTGCAAATGAACCAGCCGTTACACTTGCATGCACACCCACCCGCTCTGACTGGGTTCGGTATCCCGGATGCTTCGTTTCTTGGGAAGTAAACCCAAGTACACAATAATGCACTTTTGATTTGCGATTGTACGCTCATAATTTTGTTTATATATTTTTTCAAAACCAGCAATGTATATTATATGTCATGAATAAGTGATAATTGTGTTTTAATTATGTTTGATTTTTTGGTTGCATGTGACCTTTAAGAACGTGGGATATTTGCAAGAACTCAATGACAGGCGACCTAAGAATCAAAAGTACATTTGTAAGGGATATGAGTGTTGTGGGCAATAAAATGGCGTTGATTTCTCAGTAATGGCCTCTCAGCTCCTTCTGCAACAGTTGGTATCAGGCAGGATGTGTGGACATCATCATTAGCAGGCAATGGTTTCCCCTTGATGCACAGCATGTATGCTGCTCTGTCCACAGAGGGATCTGGACCTAGACCGTCATGCAGCGGACCTAGACTGTCCAGCAGCGGACCTAGACTGTCCTGCAAGGGACCTAGACTGTCCTGCAGAGAACCTTGACTGTCCTGCAGGGGACCTAGACTGTCCTGCAGCGAACCTAGACTGTCCTGCAGCGGACCTAGACTGTCCAGCAGCGGACCTACACTGTCCTGCAGCGGACCTGGACCGTCCTGCAGGGGACCTTGACTGCACTGCAGAGAAACTTGACTGTCCAGCAGCGGACCTAGACGGACCTAGACTGTCCAGCAGCGGACCTAGACTGTCCTGCAGCAGCGGTCCTGCTAGACCTACACTGTCCAGCAGCGGACCTGCAGCGGACTGTCCAGCAGCGGACCTAGACTGTCCAGCAGTCCTGGACCTAGACTGTCCTGCCTGCAGCCCAGACTGGACCAGACCTAGACTGTCCTGCAGTGGACCTAGACTGGTCCTGCAGGGAGACCCAGCAGACCTGTCCTGCAGCGGACCTAGACTGTCCTGCAGCGGACCTAGACTGGCCTGTAGGGAACCTAGACCGTCCTGCAGCGGACCTAGACTGTCCAGCAGCGGACCTAGACTGTCCTGCATAGGGAACCTAGACTGTCCTGCAGGGACCTAGACTGTCCTGCAGGGGACCTAGACTGTCCTGCAGGGGACCTTGACTGCCCTGCAGAGAAACTTGACTGTCCTGTAGGGAACCTAGACTGTCCTGTAGGGGACCTAGACTGGCATGCACCGGACCTAGATTGTCCTGCAGGGGACCTTGACTGTCCTGCAGAGAACATTGACTGTCCTGCAAAGGACCTAGATTGTCCTGCAGGGAACCATGACTGTCCTGCAGGGGACCTAGATTGTCCTGCAGGGGACCTAGACTGTCCTGCAAGGGGCCTAGACTGTCCTGCAGCGGACCTAGACTGGCCTGTAGGGAACCTAGACTGTCCTGCAGGGACCTAGACTGTCCTGCAGGGGACCTAGACTGTCCTGCAAGGGACCTAGACTGTCCTGCAGCGGACCTAGACTGTCCTGTAGGGACCCTAGACTGTCCTGCAGGGGACCTAGACTGTCCTGAAAGCAACCTAGACTGTCCTGCAGGGGACCTAGACTGCACGGACCTAGATTGTCCTGCAGGGGACCTTGACTGTCCTGCAGAGAACATTGACTGTCCTGCAACTGTCCTGCAAAGGACCTAGATTGTCCTGAAAGCAACCCATGACTGTCCTGCAGGGGAACCTAAACTGTCCTGTAGGGGACCTAGCTGTCCTACAGGGACCTAGACTGTCCTGAAAGGACCTAGACTGTCCTGCAGGGGACCTAGACTGTCCTGTAGGGGACCTAGACAGTCCTGCAGGGAACCTAGACTGGCCTGAAAGCAACCTAGACTGGCCTGTAGGGAACCTAGACTGGTCCTGCAGGGGACCTAGACTGTCCTGTAGGGAACCTAGACTGTCCTGTAGGGGACCTAGACTGTCCTGTAGGGGACCTAGACTGTCCTGTAGGGACCTAGACTGTCCTGCAGGGGACCTAGACTGTCCTGCAGGGGACCTAGACTGTCCTGCAGGGGACCTAGACTGTCCTGTAGGGGACCTAGACTGTCCTGCAGGGGACCTAGACTGTCCTGTAGGGAACCTAGACCGTCCTGCAGGGGACCTAGACTGTCCTGTAGGGGACCTAGACTGTCCTGCAGGGGACCTAGACTGTCCTGCAGGGGACCTAGACTGTCCTGCAAGGAACCTAGACTGTTCTGCAGGGGACCTAGACTGTCCTGTAGGGGACCTAGACTGTCCTGCAGGGGACCTAGACCGTTATGTATCGGACGAACCCGGTTGTATGTTCAGGTCAGTCTCTCTATTCATTCCACATACCTGGACTGAGAGAGGGCATTGGTTAAATGTATTAAAGAAGTGATTTTAGGTTCATGCCACTGGGGGCGGTGGGATAGCCTAGTGGTTAAGGTGTTTGCTCGACACGCCAAAGACCTGGGTTTGATTCCCCTCGTGGGCACAATGTGTGAAGCCCACTTCTGGTGCCCCTCACCATGGTATTGCTGCAATATTGCTAAAAGCAGTGTAAAACTAAAAACTCACTCACTTATGCCACTGGCAGAGTGAGGTGGTGGAAGGGTGCACTGGGTTATAACACAATATATACAACAGTAACCATGAACCAAACCAGTGGCCCAGGCGTGAAGCATCCAGCCACTGTAGAATTATTTCATATGCAAGCCCCATATGATAAACATCCACAGATATTCTAACCTGCACAGAGAAGAATAAGAAGAGAGAAAGAACAGTCAGAACACACACTGCTTTACTTGGGCTCTGCTTCATGGCCTGGGGGCATTCAGTTAACACTGTTGGGTCGAATTTCAATTTTCTCAGGTCAAAGTTGAATTCTAACTGAAAAGGCAAGGTGCAAAACAGCAGCTGTCTGAACCACCCTGGCCGCCCTCTCATCTCAACTAGGGGCCCTTGTCAGCTGATCTGGAGCCCACTGACTGCTTTGTGTGGGCCGGTTTCATGGGCATCTGTGTCTTACTGGGGTTTAATTCTTCATCTAAACGGCAATAACCTAGCCCCATACGCTCCATCCAGCACCAAACACCTTTAATCTCAATTAATTCCCCCACATTGCTTTGTAGTACAAGCTGTGATACGACCAACAATTGACTGTTTAGAGAGGTTAATAATCCACACCAGACATAAAGGGGCAATAAGGGACTTAATCTCCTCTTCCTGGACATTGGAGCTGATTGGCTGGAATGCACTGACCGTGCCACCCAGACCGGACACTGTTGGACACTGTTGTTCTTTCCCCGCTGCCCAAGTTGTGACGGTCACAGTGGGACAGCCATTTGTCCCTTTGTACCCTAAAGACAAGTAGATCAGTAAGGTCCAATCTCTTCCACAACAAGCATGTTATCCAAATTAATGGCTTTATGGGACTAGGTGTCTGTCTCCAAAGGTTCAATGTTTGTGCCCTTACAGGATTACAACCACTAAAACATAACATTCTCGCTAGAGTCCGCAACAGATACACACATTTAGAGCTTTAACACAAGACCTTTGAGGATTAGCTCAGATTAAGGACGTAAACTTTGTCACAGTGTGTTGATGTTATGTTGACTATCTAAACATCGCAGGCAAATTAATCACTTGACGATCGCAGGTTAGTTTATTTAACAAAGATAGCATCTCCCTCAGGATCTAAAATTGCAACAACGAATTTGAAAATAAAAGGACAACCTTCTTCCTTCATGCCAGATAAGATAAATTATCTAGAGAATACATGATTCCTTTTATGTTTAGTAATTTACGCTTCTGCGAGTTGTTGGCAAAGAAATCTTCAGATGCTAGAGATTGTTGGCAGACTTGAGATTATCCCTATAAGAATCAGAAATATTCCTTCTTCATTTAGTACTACATTATAGAAACATTTTATCCAAGAGATATACTTCAACCACAAACCTAAATGACAAGACCAATTTAATCTCACAGTTTCATTTTCAATTTCATATTTATGGATCAAAATGATTTTAGAGGTAACCGTTCATCAAAGGGAAAAATGGATAAATATTCTCCATTCAGAAAATATTTACAAGCACCAATATTGATTGAATTCTTTGATATCAAACAAAAATATCAGGAAAGTCCCTGACGTTCCAGTAATACTTTTATTGCTAAGCATACAGCTTTCTTTGATGAACATCAAAATGCCACAAAGTATATTTGAATTGTTAAATCTTCAACAAGTAGATGAAAGTCAGTAAAGAGCACAACAATTTATTGAAATAAATACAATTTATTGAAGCAAGATTATCCACGCAACACCTTGAATCAGATGAAATGCTACAAAATCGTCTTTATCAAAATGCTTGTCAAAATTCTCGTCACATGTTGCGAGATGAATGGATCCCAACAGTGCTGTTTATGAGGATCTCAATGATGAGTGAGAACAATATTAATCCCATCGCGAGGCAACTTTCACTCCCTTCACGTCACCTCCGCTAATAACACGGACCGAGACAGGAGACGTGACCAGCCATCCATGAAGGGTTAGCGGGAATAGTGCATGGTGAATGATGTATGGTCTGTTTGTTAAATGTATGCTTTGTGATGCGCTGGAGCAGAAATAACGTGGCTCAATATATCCTCTGTCTGTGCACTGCTTTATCAACAGGAGGGATTCCATTTGCGAAAAATGACCAATAACAGTGAAAGGGGATGATGACTGTTTCGATAGGTGAACCTCCTCGCCATGAGCGCCATCTCTGTCTCCCAGCATGCATCACTGACTGTGAAAATGTCATTTACGCTTCAGATTAGGGGTATGGTTGACCTTGAAGGGAATCACTTGTTGGAATGACATTGCCTGTATATAGGGTTTCGCTCCCCCTTCAGACGTATTTTAAGTATCCTTTGTGGCCAGAAAGTCAATGTTTAGGGGCGTACAGGACTATAGCTGTGCCATTGTGGGAATACATTTCAATTTCATGTAGGAGATAAATTATTTCTGTGATAAGTATGATCTTAAAAGAAGGTTTGTTCTCAAGTACTTGCACAGGATTTCAATGGAAACATTTGGACCGTGATTCATGAAAAATGTCTTTAGAAATATGTGTGTGGCCATATGAGTTTGTTCGAGAGATAATGCCCCGCGTTGTGTTGGTATCAGGGTGTCGATGCCACACAAACGACACATTCATGCTTTTCAAGTGTTGATAAACTTGCAGCTGAAAGTTTGTACGTTCAGTTTATGCAGGGGAGGTGGGAGTTTCACCTTCTGCCTCTATGTCAACAATCAACAGCAAAGCAACACCCACCTCAGACATTAACACAAGATAAGAAGCACACAATACTCAGCAGGATTTCATCAATAAACTTTCGTGCATCATTACAGGAAGGTTTAAACACTGACATCTTATGTCCAAATCTTGACATGAAATATTGTTCTCATATTTCAGAAACAAAATGTTTTAAATATTTTTATAGAGCTTCTGATGAAATAAGGAAACAATGAGTAAATTTGGGTTCAGTTTTGTTTTGAACAGCTTATCAGTTTTATATCTGTTTTAGCTTGGGGAGTGGGTATAGTTATACCATAGCAGATCCTGGCTCAAACAAGGGACTTAAACTCTGCACTCCAAATTGTGTTGTTTTTAACTGTTTGGTCATCAATGTCAAAAAAGAGCAACTGGTGCTGACACACCATAAAGTGGCACTTATATCTGGGGCCTAACCTGCAGATCCTTGCAGCAGCTAAGGGAGACAACTTGTAAGCTACTGTGAAGTAGCTCATTGATAACAGGCATGCTTTATTAATAACATACCACAATATTACAGTAGAATAAATATTTTGATCTAAATGAACTGTCTGGTATTTTATAGGCAATACGAAACCACAAACAGAAGAAATACAGTCCAACATGAAGGCTCATTGAATAAATGACATTCTGGAAAAAACAACAACTTATTATACCAGTTATCTGTAGGTGTGAAAGTAAAACCAATAAATCAACCATTTCTAAAGGCGATGAAGATAAGATATTTCCTCCCACTTAGAGGTGGAGATAGATATGCAATGACATTTGCCAGCAGCAGGACCATCAGTCATCCTGGCTATAGATTTCTAGACAAACACTCCCAAATGTCTCACTGATAGTTACTGACAAATCTTATGGAAGGGAGTTAATTATAGCCATAAAAAGCATTTCTGGTCCTGCTAAAACAAAAGAAACTGTAGGAGAAGTAGAGGACAGCCATCCCCACATCACAGGAACCACGTACCAGGAGAACAGTGCAGTAGTCTCCTCCTGGATAGGAGAGTTCACTAATCACAGAATCCTCGCGGGTGGTCTACGGAGAGGTGTATCAAGCAGAACTCCACCAAATCAAATCAATACGCTGGCTTATTTTATCTACTGTGTGTGGCTCCCAATGATATATCAAATAAAATCTATTAGAAGTTACAATGTTGGGGGTTTATGACAGTAGTTACTCGATATTTATCAATCTTTTTATGTCGTACACCTGTTTTTACTGAAGCAGCAAAGCGTCTGGCAAGAAACGTGAACTGAATGAACACACACAACCAGCTCCTGCCTTGCTTCCATACATTGGTCCCTAAACATGAACAAAAACTGACCCACACTCTCATACT